GTTTCTTTGCTTACAAAGCAATGTCAGTGGGCTCGAACGGATCGTGGTAGGTTTGGAGAGTGGACATTTGGATCAAAACTAAGAGGTAGAGAAATAGGGATAGCAGCCATGTTACGGACCATTTGGACGTCCTAAGATATAAATTTTCTTCACATCTTATGTACATTTTCTTTGCATCTTACGTCCCCCTAACAAGGAGCGGAGATTATCCAGACAATGACAAATTAAATCACCAGCCGGTCTTTCAGGAAGTCGTTTTTTTTTCTTTCTTAAGCTATAGCTTGCTGGAGAGAAAGAAAGAAAGTGAGAAAGCTCCCCGGGGGGATGGCCACACCACAGTCTGTTCTCCATTCTGCTCCCAGGACTTTGGACATGTATGCACACATACTCAGTGTGTTGTTCAAGCTGCTGAGTCTGGAACTCGAGCTGCACGGTCAGCCATGTGGGAGGTCGCTGCCTTCATCTCCACACCATCTGCCGGCCCCAGAATTCTTTTTTATTATTTATTTATTTTAGAGAAGTTTTTGCTATTGGGTACGTGTGCCTACCAGAGAGACAGAGACAGAAAGTGAGAAATCACCCACCCTTCCCCCTCAGAGGTATGGCCATGCCACAATCCCTTCTCCTCCTTTCTTTACTCGGGATTTTGGACATACACACGCATGCACCTGGTGAGAGTTCAAGCTGCCAGGTCCGAGACTTGAACTGTGGTCGGTTACCTGGGAGCCCAGTGCCTTAACCACCCCTCCATCTGCCGGCCCCATTATTTATTTTCTTAATACAAAGAAGATAAAGATAGTAATTCTTTCTGACTTGAGACTGTGACTGCGAGCTCATGTCTCTGAACCTTGAGACGCTCTCTGCAAAGCGAGATGGATGCAGAGGGACTTGGGCAGCAAATGAAGGCCCTGGGAGCGGATAGGAGAGCGAGCACAAGGCAAGCACTGGTTCTTAACCTGTCTCTGAGGACTCTTCAGGGCCCTCAAGATGTTTTGGGGTCTACAAGCTCATAGTCATTTATTCCCTTTTATCTTTTGTTTGCTTTATTTCACATAATCTTTTTTTTTGTCATCGTGCACACTTTAATCCTAATAAACATATATAATTAAACCAATTTGTGAAACAGCCTGCCGTACAACAGGATTTAGTTAATTTCATAATGAACGTGCTCTATTTTTTTCCATCTCTTTTTCTCTCTCTCTCTTTTTTAACATTTTTCCATCTGTCACGTATTTCCTCCCCTTGCAGCTCACACCCACCCTTCGCCCCCCACTCTACCATCTGCCCTCCCCTCTTACAGTCTCTAGCATTTATGCCCTTCCTGTTCACCATCGCGTCAAGTCTCCCGACCTTTTACGTAGCACGCAGTACAAACTGAGTGGAGATATACATTGTGTGTCTTTCAAAGTCCGGTCACTTTGCTTGACATTAGGCATCTGCTGGTCCCTTTAAGTCTCTCATAGTCATTCACTTTGAGTCAAAGGATAAGCTCTCATTGTTATCGCTGTGTAATATTCCATAGTTTATATGTGCCACCGTTTTCAACCCAGTCATCAGGGTTTTTTTTTTGTTGTTGTTGTTGTTGTTTTATGAGTCAGGCAGAGTTTGTGGGTCCCTGAGCCCTTCCTACCCCATTCTTCCTCCTGATAGGCAGGCCAGGATTGAGATGGAGAAGGTGACATGAACAGACCCAGGAAGACAGGAAGGCCTTTCCCTAGCAACCACTCAGGGAAAGGAGGATGGGGAGCAGGAAGAGACAAGGGGTGCTCTGTGTGACCTGCTCCAGGCAGAGCCCTGGAGGCCACACAGCATCCTCCTCCAACCCTCCTGGAGGTGCGCAGGGCTGGATGACACATGGGCAGCTCCAGAGTCATGAGCCTCTTAGGCCAACTAATCCATGGCCACCTGCCCTTGCCTACTCTGTTGGCTTCCTGAGTCTGGGGGCTTCTGCCCTGGTCCCATTTCCAAGCTTCCTGTTCCCTTTTTTTTTTTTTTTTTTAAGAAAAAAGGACTTGAGGTCCCCAGCTACCTCTCCCTGCCCTGACCCAAGACATGGTCCTGAGGCAGCCTGTTGTCAGTCTCTGCCAGGGGCTCAGAGGCCCCGCCTGGCCCAGAACACAAGTTCAAAACCATTTTTTAAATGATGGTCTGAGACATGATTTGCCTTTTTCACTCTCGTCTCACTCTTTGATGACTGTGCAGTGGAGTTTCCCAGAGGCGACAAATGGAAAAAGCAGCAGATATGAGCAGGCTACTCCCATCTATTAAACCACACAGGCGAGAGAGCTGCCAAGATGTAGAACATTGCCACTCTTCACTTTCGGTTTGTTTTGGATTATGTGGCTGTTTTCCATAAATATGTAACATATGTTTATTATGCTTTTCACTGCACACACCCATGCACACACACACACGTACACACACACACACACGCACACACACACGCACACACTCACACACGTGATTCAAGCCACTGGGTCCGGGACTTGATTTATAGAGTTGGCTGTGTGGGATCCAGCCCCTTAACCTCCATGCTTGCTGGCCCTCGCTCCTGTATTAAGTGAAGTCAGCAATAAATCTTAAAACTTACAGATTTAATTTCTAACAGTTCGTATTGATAGCTATAACCCACATTAAAGAAAACAAAAGTTCATGAGGGCTCTCCATGGTTTTTAAGACAGCAACAAGGTTCTGGCAATAAGAATCGAATCAGAGCCGAGAAATATTACATCCTGCTCTGTGGGGACAAATAACTTCAGGAAACGTAAGTCACCGAGAAGGTGGATTATTCTTTCTGAAAAAGAGGTTTAGGAGAGCAGCAGAAATTAGGGAGAGACCACTGGAGTAAACGGTCAGGAGTGGGATAACTAAATTATTTTTTTCTTTGCTACAGAAAAAGTGTATTGCTTGAGAAAGAGGGAGAATGAAAAACACTCTCCCACGGGAGATGACCACACCAACTGCAGTCCCCCTCCTCCATTCTCGTTCTGGAATTTTGGGCAGGCACGCACATCCACTTGCTGTGTGCCTGAAGCCACTGGTCCTGAACCTAGAACAGCATGGTGGGTTGTGTGGAATCCAGCGCCTTAACCTACAATGCCACTAACTGGCCTCAAGGATAACTAACTATTAATACCATTTCATATGAGTTGTTTTTAAAAAGTTGCGAAAAATACTGTGCATGGATTTCAGAAATTTTTGCACCAAAATAAACTGTTAATTCCATTTTCTTTGAACTTTTTGAAGTCCTCTTGTACCATACTGTGCATGGATTTCAGAAATTTTTGCGCCAAAATAAACTGTTAATTCCATTTTCTTTGAACTTTTTGAAGTCCTCTTGTACAGCAATTGGTAAAACTAAAAAAGTTACAATACTGCCATCTAGTGTTCCATGGGGAAAGTATCTTAATATCTTTTTTTTTTTTTTTTTCGTTCTGCTTAGGACCACGTCAGAATCACCATAGGGGCTTGATGTAATTTTGGGTCATCGGAAGTCATGACGCCTTTTTGCATAGAAAAACAGAAAACTAATGTCATGACTTTTCTGATGACCCAATGGTTTGTCCTGCATTTTAGGGCTCATCTCATATGTACCTTCAGATGTCTTAAATGTTCCTCAGTTTGCTATTGTATTCAACCTCTTCTGTTTCGGGTTAGAATAACCGGATTTCAAGCTAGTTCCACCTCCTCGTGAACCTGCGTTCCGGTCACTATCAATGTAGGATGACTTAGCGTGGTCTTCAGGAAACTGAATAAGTTCCTTCTTCCACTCTGCCTTTGCCCGACTTCTCCCTTCCCTTTTAAAGCATGAACTTTGTATTTAGAGTTTACAGAAACATGGTGAAGATGGCACAGAGTTCCTGTGCGCCCTCCACCCAGCTTGCCCTGTTGACCACATTCTACATTACTCTGGTCCTCTGGTGCCTGGTGCAGTGATCAAGTCTCACATCAAGGCACCTGACAGAGAAATTGCACAGCTAGAATCTTGGGAGAAGGGTGAGCAGGTGGTGTGTAAGAACCTGGATGGTCATCAGACTTCTCAGTAGCCATACTAGAAGCTAGAACACCATGAGTCGTCAAAATTTGGAGTAAAACCATGTCTGTCATGACGTCCGATAGTAACCAAGCTGCGCGTTAAGGGTGATGTTAGATAAAGGTAATTCCAGAACTACAGGGCCTCAAACTGTGTGTCTCCTCTGCCTCCTTTATCGGGAAGTTATTTGAGGATTTGCTTCTCTAGAAGGGGAGGAAGGCCAGGGAGAGCTGGAATGAGTGCTCTGAATCATTGAGGAGACGGTGGCGATATCTCTGTAGGGGCCTCGAAATCCGCAGTGCAGGAGGGAGCAGGGGAGCTGGGTTGCTTCAACAGCTCAGAGATTTATTTGTCTGCCAGAATGCTTGGGTGTGAACAGGGAACAGGGATGGGGAACATCGTATAGATAAAGAGCAGACGGTTGATGAGCCCCAGAGAACATGAAAAGTCACGCGGAAATACGGCGCATGTTGTGGCTCGGCTTTGAACTGCGTAGTGAGAGTAATGCAAATATTGAACTTATGTAAACAGCAACAGTAAACTGAGCATGTCAAAGGAGGCGGGTAGGTGGGGTAGAGAGCGAGAAAAAGAGAAAGACACACAGAGAAGGTGTTAGAGCCTTCACCGGTATACCCAGGGGTCAATAGTTACTTAGAATTGAAGAAAAGAACAGCAACAGCAACAGCCTCTTAGGGAAACCATGGGCGTAAATGCCAGAAGAAGGGCCTGACATTGCTCATGTCTAAATCTCTAAGGAGTAGGGAGCAGAGGCTGGGAAGAATTGGTAAGGGAAAGTTCTGGAAGGATTCTGTGACATTTTCAAGCAATGTTTACGTGTCCCATGAAAGGGGAAGTCAGGTGAGTGGGCGACCTGCCCGAGTGGGACTTGGCATCCAGGCTGGCCCACCTCTGCTCGGAATCAGGGAGTGTGGCAGCAGAAAGCCCAGGGCCAGCTGCCCCGCTGCCTTTGCACTCAGTAGCTGGGACTCTTATCAAGGCTGTGGCCTGTCAGGGGGCGTCCTTTCCTGGGCTCCCTCCTTGTTTGCATACTCATTTGCATCCTGGCAGGGTGAGAGGTCACCTCCTGGTGGCACAACTGGTCTGCTTCTCTGACTGAAGGGTGCCCGGCCCTGTGAGCTGAGGAATCCCACTGGTGGCCTCCGAACCATGGCTTTCCCTGTGGGATTTGGATGGGGATCAGCCACTGCAGCCTACCAGGTGGAAGGTAGGAGAAGCTCTCTCCCATCACTAGGGCCAGGATAGATTCCTTCCGGTGGGATCTCTAGGCTAGGGATAGAAGGAGGTGAGGAGATAAAAAGAAAAGAAGGAAAAGGAGCTATTTTGGCTCTGCTCTTTGGAATACCTGGCACCGTGAGGGCATTTGCAGAGAAGGCAGACTGAGAGGGACAGAGAATCAGCCTTCTGGTCACTAGGCCTCCTAATACATTGCGTATTTCCCCAGACACATGGTCCTTCTTCCTATCCTGGTTCGTATCCCTCTGCCTCTCCTCTGGCCACTTAGCTGTTTGCGGTTTTAAATAAGAGTTTAATGTGTGTTATATGAGAGTTGCCTGCCTAATGCCTTGAGCCTTTTGGAGGAAAGCACAATATAAATCTAATAAATGAATAATAAATAAGTGGTAAAAGCAGGAGGAAAATGATGTGTTTTAGGTGAGTTGTAAAGAACATTGTACACCCTGTAAAGGGTATTCGTTTGGGTAAGAGGCAGGGAAGAAAATGCAGATCCTCATTGTGCATGTAGAACTGAGTGTCGTGCAAATTTTACGTGCGGAAATATTTCTGTGGTGTGGCACCCTTTGTATGGCTGACTCTGTCCTCCCAAACAACAAGTCACTCAGTGGCACTTGGTGGACTTCTTTTGTGGGCACGGAGGAGCTATGAAAATGACATTGAGGACCCAATTCTGCAGCTCTTATGAAAGTATAGCTCCCAGTAATTTCAGGAAAAGCTCTTACGGGGCTAACACACTCTGCGAAACCCAGCAAATCCTCAGCCAAATCTAAACTGCTCCATGGGTTCTTCCTAGTGGATCTGAGTGTGTAGTTCTGGGAGGCAAAAACCTCGGTTTTGTGAATGCCACTACGAAACCCAAGGGCGGCACCAGATACCAGTCTAGGCTTGGTTTTGATTTGACTTTGACTTCTGCTTTCTGATGGCAGAAACTAGAGGTCACATCAAATTTGGGCCATCTCTGTTTCCCTTGTCAAAAGAGAGGTCCTCTAGTTAAAAAAAATTGGGGTTATTCTTGCACTAAAAAAGCGAGAGAATGAACGGGCAAATGTATTAGTTGGGTTTGGGTCAAGTTATGCTAATTCTCTCGAATGATTCTGTTTTGTGATTCTTCTCTGGTCTCTGTAAAACTTACCCTGCCTACACAAGCCAAAGCTAGAGGCATATTGCCTTAACCTTCTGTAGATGTCTTTATAAGCCCCACTATTGCTGCATTTTCAGCAATTGTTTTATCGTCTGGATGTTTCTACCCCTCAAATCTCCTTAAGAATACTAATTAAGGGACCAGCAGATGGCATAAAGATTACTGGACTCCCACATAGTTGATTGTGGTTTGAATTCCTCACCTGGCGGCTTAAAACTCATAGCAAGCATGTACATGCATGCCCAAGATCCCGAGAGGAGAATGGAGAAGGGATTGTAGTGTGGCCATCCCTGGTGTGTGTGTGTGTGTGGGGGGGATTTCTCACATTCTGTCTTTCTATGCACATACCATATAGCAAAAATCTCTCTCTCAAAAACAGAATGCTAATTTAAAAATTTTTGCTTAATCTAACAATCCTACCTCTGAGAATTTACTAGAAAGATCTGAAATCTCTTAAAGAGTGTCTACAGTCTCGTGTTTATTGCAGCGCTATTCCAATAGCCAAGTTATAGAATCAACTCAAGTGTTCATCAACAGATGGGTAGATAAAGAAAATGTAGTGTCCATACAAAAGAGACTGCTACTGAGCTTTAAAGAAAAGGGAATTCTGTCATTAGTGACAACATGGATGCAACTGAAGAACATTCTGCTAAGCAAACAAGCCAAGCATAGAAAAATCTTATGAATGGAATTTCTGACCTATAGAATACCCAAGACTGGCCTTCTCATGAGCCATGGAGGAGCACAGAGAGAAGATGGTTGTCTGGAAACCAGGAAGCAAGCCCTCACAAAAACCTGACCATGCCAGCGCCCTGAGCTCAGTTTTCCAGCCTCCAGAGCAATGAGAAATGAATTTCTGTTGCTTATAGGCCAGCCAGTCTATGCAATTCTAGCATAGCAGACTGAATGAACTAAGGGAAAAAAATGCATTTCAGACAGTGTAATAAGAGAGAGTGGAATATTAAGGTAATGTGAGGAAAGCCATAGCAGAGGGTGTTCTTAGGATGGGTCTAGCATCTCCTACTGGGGCTGGCTGCTCCAAGCCACTGGCATTTGTGATCATGTCTTACCTCCTTCTGTTTCTGAACACACAGATTTTCCATGTACTATGTTTCCCAGCACCTCATGTGGCCGTGCTGGAAGGCGTCGGTGGCCATTGCTACGGGTAGATGCTGGTGATTCAGAGTCTGTCTGCTAACTTGTATGCTGTTTCATATCAGCAAAGTCTTGAACAGAGAGTGGATGCTCACCACTCATATTTAGGAACAATTTTTTTCTTATCAATAGTTACACATTTATTTATTCATTCCGTGGTAAAGTCAGAGAGCGAGAGTAAGGTTGAGAAAAAGAAAGGTAAAGACACTCCTAATAGAGTTTCGCAACACAGTCCATCCCCAGCCTCAGCCAGCTAAGATCACGGGGCGTGCATGCACCTGGCATGCACACGGAGACCTTGGGATATGAACCCAGAATCTTTCCACATGACGTCAGCCAGAGTGTTACATTCAGTCAGCACTGCCACTGTGGCTGGCCAAAAGATTGCTTTTTGTTTTATGAAAGTTATTGTAGAACATGTAAGAGATCTAAGGAAGCAACAATAAAATAAATAATAATAGAGAGATATTTCACAGATTTTAGTCTGTATTTTTAGTATTTTTCTATACATGAATGGACTTACATACACATGTACACATTTTTTCCCCCCACTCTGGTAGGAATGTTTTTTAAATGACTTTTTTTTTTTGAGAGGTTTTTGCTATAGGGTATGTACGCTTGCCAGACAGAGAGAGAGAGACAGAGAGACAGAAAGCGAGGAATCACCCCTCAGGGGGGATGGCCACACCGCAATCCCTTCTCCTCCATTCTCTTCTCGGGATCTTAGGCACACACACACATGTGCCCGGCATGAGTTTAAGTCACCAGGTCTGGGACTCAAACTGTGGTCGACTACATGGGGGTCCAGCAATGTAGCCATTATGCCAACTGCTGGTCCCTAAATGGCTGGTTTTAAGACACTTAGAAATATCTTGATAAGACAAAACATGTCTCCGAGTCTTTTCTACTTTCTTGTGTCTCTGTCTTGTCTATCTTTCTACAGTTGCACATGGATGCTACATGGATGTTACATGGAAAGCTAAACATGGGCCAGTGCACTTAACCTGGAGAAATAAAAAAAAAAAACAGCTTTATCTCAATAATGTGTTTATATTATGGGTTCTACATTTTGGCTCATATATTTGCACATAAGTATTTTTCAACATTAAATTGATCAGTTAAGGTGAAATATTTGTTTATTTGGCTGAATATATGCCAGAGTCCAACTGGAGAAAAAAGTACTAGTTGTGCCGTTCCTTCCTGGGCCCGCCCATCTGGCAGGGGCTCCTTTGCAGCTAAGTTCACTGGTACACAAGGTTAATTAATTCTGTAAAAAATGATTAGGCTGGGCCAGCAAATGGCATAGCGGTTCCATTGCAGGACTCCCATATGGCTGACTGTGGTTTGAGTCATGGACCCAGTAGCTTGAGAATTACACCAGGCACATGTGCATGCATGTTTAAGATCCCAGGAGAAGAATGGAGGAAAAGGGATTGAAGCATAGCCATCCCCCCCAAGGGGTGATTGCTCACATTCCCTCTTAGTGTCTCTGTCTCTATTTCTCTCTCATGAGTGGACGTGACCTAAGGCAAATACCTCCTCCCCGCGAAAAAATTATCAGGCCATCGCATGAGTGCCTTCACCATAAATACGGGACTCATACTAAATCTTTACTCTTTAAAAACAAAACAAAACAAAACAAAACAAAAGCAGCAACTGCTAAAGGTGTGTGTCCTCACTAGAGACAGAAGTAGAGAAATCACCCCCCGGGGATGGTTACACTGCAGTCCCTCCTCCTCTCGGGATTTTGGGCACCTATGCACATGCGCCTGGTGTGTTTTTCAAGCTGCTGAATCTTGAACCGCGTGCAGTTGGCTGTGTGGGATCGCATCACTTGAACTATGGATGCCACTGGCTGCTGCCTGTTCATTCTTGAAGTTAAGCAATTATTTTTCTTTTTCCTCTTCATCTCTTGGTTAGACTCCTCTTCTTAATGACCTTTCCTGAACTTAACATCTCTTATCTTCTTAGTCTCCTTTGCTCCTCATCATTTTCCTCCAAACGTTTCTGCATATTGCTGCTAGCATGGTCTTTTACAGTTCTGACCACATGACTCCCTTTCTAGAGCATGAGTTCTGAAATCGAACAGACCAGGTCTGAACCCTGACTTCACCACTTACCAACTGTCTGACCTTGGGAGGTACATACTTATGCTTTGCAGGTCTTGGTTTTCTTCATTGTAAGATGAGAACGGTAGTCACACCTGTTTCAGGGTTGGAAATATGGAATGTGTTTATGAATATCAAAGGCTTAGAATAGTGCTGTACAAACGGCAAAGGAGGAGTAAATTCTAGTAATTATTGAAAATATTTTAATGTCTTTCTACCTCCTGCAGGATAGAATTTCTGAGTGTCTTAAGTGGCAGAAAACACTTTGTAATTTTATTTCTGACTGCGTTCCCTGTTTCAGCTCTTGCTTCTTCTCCATTTGACAAAAAAAAAAGAAGCATGTTTAATTCTTTAAATGCACCATGCCCTTTGTGCCTCTGTGCTTTCGTACGGGCCATGCCCTCTGCTCGTGTGTGCCTTTGCCTGCTGGCACGATCGGGACCAGCAGAGGACCAAGGCCAGGCTTCCTGACCTTGAGGCCAGAGCCCTTTCTGCCCCACATACTGCCCTTGCGTTTGCATCCTTCATGCTATTCTTCTGCGTGTGTTACTGCGAACATGGCATTGA